GTTGGGAGTTCATTCCTACTGTGCCTTGAGCTGGGGTCTAGCTGCTGTAAGCAGTTTGTAAATGTGTAAAATACCTTCCCCCTTGCTATGCAGCTGCACCAGAATGCCTGCCCTATCTTGGAAGATAAAGGCACACTGGTCTAGTGAAGACAATGCTTTGTGTTTCCTTACACAGTCAATTGTCTCTCAAGCTCCTCGTAGTGTGATCATCTCAAGTTTCAGCTCTAAAGTGCAGTGCTGTAACTACCAAAGTAAAATTGCAATGGGGCAGATTTCAAGTAGGCCTTTCACACTAAAATGTGTATTTTTATTCATTTAGCACCTTCTTTGTCGGTACATAGCTCAGTGTGAGTCTCCCCAGCTGAGCAGTGCAGCACCAAAGCAGGCAGGGAACAGCCAACAAGCTGCACAGCCCACGGCTGTGGGAGCATGGCACACTGCAGCCAGGACTGCCACAGGCACAGCTGGGTGATCACTGGCATCTAGGGAGAATGTGGCTGCAGCCTACCCCCGTGCTGGAGCTCAGCTGGTGGGGCACGTCCTGTTGGCAGAGACCACATCGTGTACAGACTCTGCCAAAGCTTCAGCCTCTACGGCAGCTGTGGAATGGAACTCGGGGAAACAGTGCTCCTTGCAGTGCTTTCCTGAGACAGCCACAGTAAGGGTTAGAATGTAGCAATGTAGGTTTCTTGCCGGCTGGAATGGAATAGCAAAGAAGCACCCTTTAACTGTAGCTATTAAAGTGTCAGGAGCAGTCACGTACTGGCTTACCTCACTAGGGCTGCATCCAAAGGATTTTGAGGCAGGGTACATTGGACTGCAGCAGATCACTGTAGGCACACCAGCTCTGGAACCATCGTTGGGAACAGTGTATGAAGTGCAGATCTGTCTGCACCTACACGAACAACCCTGAATCCTTTTCAAGGCAAGAGAGTGGCTAGAAATATGCAAATTTCGTTGCTACAGCATTGCTGAAGTTAATGTATTGCTGTTTAAGAATGGCGTGTAAGGATAAAGGAAATGTAACATGTCCAATCAGGTCTCTGTCAAGTGCAGGGAAAGCTCAAGATCTGCGTGCTATAGCCTAGTCATCAGTAAAGAAACCACTTAAGAGCACAAACAGCCCCAGTTCTTCCCAGTTAACTGCAGGGGGCAAGTTATGGTCTACTGGCAAAATTCAGTAAGAGAGATGCAAGAATAACCATCAATCCTTACCTGCTTTACCTATGAACTGGATGACTTTGTTTTAGCACAGACACGACTAGAACCAACTCCTCCAGACTGCTGTGGGACAGGGTGGTTTGTGTGCATGAACCTTCCAGTGTTTCAGGGTCTGAAGACCAGAGAAGTTCACATCCCCCATGCTGTCTCAGGAGATCAATGTGCAAGGGAGCTAGCTCAAAGTCCCCAGCACAACTGCATCTGCCTGGTAACCATTTTCAACTCATTTCATACAAACATGGGGAAAATAACCTATTACTACAATAGAAAGTTTCAGAGAGATTAGTTCATTACACAATTGAGACTCAGTTTCACTGAGCAACAGCAGAAACTGAGACAGAAGCAGAATAGTTTTACAAGTTTATTGTAAATACCTTCACAATCTCAGTACAGAGATAAGTATATAAAATGGTGTTGTTTGGAATAATTAAGGCTGGTTGGTGGTCATCCAAATTTCACTGTTCAATGGAACTCAAGCAAGAGCAACTGGTTTCTGACTGTACATGTTTTTATTTGCGTTCCATCGTTACAGTGCGATCACAAGTTATTTCAGAGACTCAATGCCTGCTTATTATAAAATAAAGGACATTATTTACATGATGAAAGAAAGATTTCAGCATTTTTGTGGAATGGATGACTGATACTGCAACAGGTTTAGTCCAGGTACTTCCCAAGAATGTCACCATCTCTAAACAAGTAATAGTCCTGCAAAGAAAAGAAGTATTAGTACATGGCACAGCAGTTTTTAAGTTGTTTCACAAACACTGTCTTGTTCTGAAGTCAGCATTACCACAGCATCAAAGTGAGTTAACCAAGAAGCCAGCATGACCGAGTCATAAGATACTCTCTGGAGAGCTACCAAGTTACTACTTTTAGTACTGGGAAGTGCAGAACTGTTAGATTCTGCAAGCTTTCCCTGTCACAAGCAAGGGAACCCCCAGGAATTTCAAAGCCTCTACGGGTTCCCTCTAAAATATGCTTGACACAGGGAACCAATCTGTCCACCCAGCAAAGGTCAGGTCAGAGGTTTCCTTGGCTGCTTCCTTTTGTGCAGGGATGGACATGGCAGCTACCACAGGTTCCACTGGTGGCTGGATCCAGCTGCTCCCACGTGAATACCAACACCTGCATGCTGCTTACACCATGAGGTAACTACAGGATTTATCACTGGCAGTATGACCTCTGGGAACCAGCCTAATTGGCATTCACACAGCTGGACACCTACCTTATCTTCTAGCACGATCTTAGTACCCCCATACTCTGGTAGCAAAACCTTTTCACCAACTTTCACACTCACTGGCTGAATCTCACCATTCTGGAAAAGAAAAAAACAAGAACTCCTTAAGTTTTCCATAATATCGACAGAGATAATAGAATTCCTATAAACTGCAATAATCTATCCACATATAAAACATTCAGGAAATCACTAGAACAGGTTTGTGTACAGGTTTCCTAAGAGGAAAAGCACAGCAGTCGGTTCTCAAGCGCAGGAGTCCTGCAGTATTTAGGCAACAGAACTGCAGTGACTTACTGAATACAACTAATGTCAATTTAGTTTTGACTGCAAATACAACTGTGAGGTCTTGGCTTTACATACTGAAAAGGACTTCACTTAAAAAAAAAAAACCCTCCCAATAAACTGGGAAATTAAGTGACACCATGAAATCTCCTTGTAAAATCAAGAGAGAAAGTCCATTTCCATATTCTACAGCTCAAGCTGATTTCTCCAAGTGCCGTTAAAGTGCCTTCCCATCTCTGTTACTTTGATCACCTTGTCACTGTTGCTGCCAAATCACTTGTTTAGAAACACCTGATCAAGTTTAATTAAATTTCTGTATTATACATAAAACATTAACACGTTAGTCAAACATCAGCACCATTTCACAATATAAAGCTTTCAAGCTCAGGCACTGAGGCAAACTAGCAATGTATCCATGAGGGACTCATGGTAAAGAAAGGCAGAGTCAACATGCCCCAGTTGAAATTTAACCTGTTCTCCACTGCTGCTATTAGCTGAGCACTGCTTTGTTGCTGGGGAAAGGGCCTGCTGATACCCACAGTCCCTGGCACTTCTGTGAACACTCTCTTCTGATTTCCAGATACGGGTTCGGTGTGCAAAATTAACAGTTATTTGACACTTGTTTCTTTTCATTCCTGATCTTCTTTAGTCCAGTAAGCCTAATCCTTATGGACGATGATATTTTGTACAGTACAAGATAGCTAACACCACATTCTGGGATTCCACCCTGCTCACGAGTCACAGAAATTTGGGCATGTGATAGTTTTAACAACAAAGTCTGTTGGTCCTTCAAGGTTTTGGCTGAGAAGTGATAAAACATCACCTAAAATGATGTTTATGTATTTAAAACTGAATGAAAGAAATCTCAAACAAAAAAACAGCTGTTTTACAAGTGATCAAGGGATGCTGGAATTCAAGGTCAGAGCCAGTCAGGACAACTTGAGACTCCCTTCTGAACCTGTAATTCCACCTTCAGCCATCAATTCTTGAGCTCTACACCTGCACCGTGGAACCATCCCATTCCTATCACATCCCAACTACTACCACACCATTGCTGATTCTACCCAAACGCAATGATTCAGGATAGTTACCTTTCCTTTGCTTCCAGATCCAACTGCTACTACTGTTGCTTGTAGCACCTTCCCTTGAGATTTTTCTGGAATCATGATTCCTCCTTTGGTTACTGTCTCGGCTGCACATCGTTCAACCAGTACACGGTCAAAGAGGGGAAGAAACTTCCTAAATGCTTTTCCTGCCTGTGGAAGGAATTGCATGTTGTAAGGGGAGGACCATTACAATGAAACTGCAGTTAGATTAGAAACCACCCCAAGTGATTTCTCTTGTGAATGAACAGTACAGTTTAATAAAGTTGCTATGCATTTATGTACCGGTAGTAAAGAAGTACCACCTCTGATTGCATCAGAAATGGCTAAAGGCACGGGCAGATGCTGGGCAATGCTGGGAGTTGGGACACAGGAAGATGTGCTCCAGCTGGGGAATAAACCACCCACAGATGGAGCTGACTTGGGGTTCTTTTGCAACTGCTTACTGGCACTTGTCTGCATTTCAGAAAGTGCAGTCTTATTCCCACGTGCCAGACAAATGCAAGCACATGCCTTTATTCCAACGAGCAGGGGTCAGGGAGAAGGAACTTGCTTTGATTTGGAAGCAAAGATATGGCAAGTGGCCAAGTCACATGGGAGATAGTGCTCACTGTCCAGGTACTCAGATCCCACACTCGGGGAAAGAACCAGAACAAGGGCCTGGCATCCCTGTGCCCTCCACTGGCACTCCACACACACATTTCACAAGTGGGAGAAAACAAAGTTACAGGCAGAGCACGATCAAATGCAGCACGTGAGAGATGTTTGTCCCTCCTACCCATGTTACTGGCACAGTGATGAAAAACTTCAAAGGGAAAAAGGCTGCCAGTTGTGTCACTCATCACTCTATAAATCATAAAAATATAAATCGGATCATCCTTTTTTAAGAAATGTCCTATGTGCAACAGGAATAAAACAGCCACTTATGGCCGTGAACGTTTTACACCAAGCTTTAATTCCTCATGCTACTATTATCATCGGAATCAAATAGCGCTGAAAGAACAAGGGCAGCTCTGCCTTAACCCAACTCTCCTTCGCTGCAGGTTCTCTACAAAGCACTTGGCAAGCCGCACAGAAGGAGCGCTGGGAAATGCGGCACAGGTTCCATTTCTCTCCCCGCGGCCTGT